CCCCAACTTGGAATGTTCTTTGGGGAGCCCTCTTTCTATCAGCCTGCTTTTTATAGGTTTCAAAAGTCTTTTTTAAAGCAGTTTTTGTGTTTCTCCAAACTTCTTCCCACCCCCTCACCCATTGGTCAAGTGTCTGGGAAGCAGAGGGCAACTGAGGATATTCAGGTATTGGGCTGAACTCTTTTCCTGTGGCCACTCTGAAAGGCGTGTAACCGGTGCTGCTGTGCACAGAATTATTGTACGCCACCTCCGCGAAAGGGAGGAGGTCAGTCCAGTTCATCTGTTGGTAAGAAACGTAGCATCTAAGATATTGCTCCACCATTTTGTTAGCGGATTTTGCAGCCCCATTGGTGGCAGGATGAAAAGCAGATGATAAACCTTGAGATGATCCAATTAATTTAAGAAAACTCCTCCAAAACTTCGCTGTGAACTGCACCCCCCTGTCCGAAATTATTCGCTTAGGGGCGCCATGCAGCCGGTAGATATGTTTCAGGAACAATTTGGCCAGTCGTTGGGCAGATGGGAGTCCTTTGCAGGCGATGAAATGAGCCTGCTTTGAGAACAGGTCTATCACAGTCCAGATGACAGTATTTCCTCTACTTTCAGGTAGGTCTACTATAAAGTCCATAGCTATTTCTTCCCATGGTTGAGAAGGGTCTGCCACGGGTTGCAGTAACCCAGGGGTTTTCCCTGGAATTCTTTTCATTGTGGCACATACAGTACAACTTTTTACATAGTTTTCCACATCCCGTTTCAGCCCCGGCCACCAAAATTGCCGGCGGGTGAGGTGTAGGGTTTTCAAATATCCAAAGTGTCCAGCCTGTTTTACATCATGGCTGTGTTTGAGAGCATTAAGACGGAGGGCTTCTGGCAAATATAGTTTCCCCCCTTTGTAAGCCAAGCCATCCCTGCACGTTAGGGAGGGTTGATTATCTTTGAACCATTGATTGGTGAGGAGCTCTCATTTTATTTTCTTTGCCCCAGGGTCATCAGGATTGGGGACCCTGTGAGGCGTAACTTGAGCGGCAGTTTGTGGATTGGGGATAATTGCCTCGTTAACCTCCCGTTCGCTTTTGTATTGGGGTAACCGGGATAGCGCATCAGCTAGAACATTTTTTCCTCCTGGTATGTACTTTAGAGTGAAGTTGAAGCGGTTAAAGTACTGTGCCCACCGTACTTGCTTTGGGGACAATTTGCGGGGAGTTTTCAGTGCTTCTAGATTTTTGTGATCTGTCCATACTTCAAATGGCACCTTGCTCCCTTCTAGATAGTGTTGCCAGTTTAATAGCGCCCACCTAATCCCGAAGACCTCTTTGTCCCAGATTGCCCATCTCCGCTCGCTTTCAGTAAATTTCTTAGAGGTGTAGGCGCAGGGTTGCAGGACCCCACTTTTGTTCTTTATTCTCAAAAGCTGTTTGACAGCCCATCGTCCATGCTAGTGGTTGGCCCGGTCGTGGCTTCCCTCCTCCTTTGCCTGTTTTGAGTAGTTCTGTAAGGGGTAGGGCAATCTCGGCAAAAGAGGGGATGAATTGACGATAAAAGTTGGCAAAACCCAGAAAACTCTGGAGCTGTTTGCGAGTCTTTGGGGGCTGCCATTCGATTATAGCTTTCACCTTGGCTGGATCCATTTCAATGCCCTCGTTGGAAATTCTGTAGCCAAGATAGTCTAATCGGGTTTGGTGAAATTCACATTTTGGCAATTTGGCATAAAGCTTGGCATTCAATAGTTTCTTTAACACTTCTCTCTCACCAGCTTTATCTGATCAGTCATATTCGTGCTGTATATCAGGATATCATGAAGATACACCAAAACCCCTTTGTACAAGTGATCATGTAGGACCTCATTAATCAACTGCATAAATACGGCTGGGGGCCCCTGTAGTCCAAATGGCATGACTGTGAACTGATAGCTCCCCATAGGACAGTTGAAGGCAGTTTTCCACTCGTCTCCCTCTTTTATTCTCACCCGGTAATATGCCTCTCTCAGGTCTAATTTAGTGAAGACACTCCCCTTAGCCAGATGGGTTAATAAGTCCTTTAGGAGGGGGAGGGGATATTTATTTTCTACACTCACAGCGTTGAGACCCTTATAGTCTACGCAGAGACGAAGAGATCCATCTTTTTTCTCTTTGAACAACACAGGGGCTCCCACGGTAGATTTGGCCCGTTCAATAAACCCCCTCGGTAGGTTTTTATTCACGTATCGCTGCATCTCCTCCATTTTGAGGGGGGACATAGTTTGGCTCCTGGCACCAGTTCGATGGAGCAGTCATTGGGTCTGTGAGGGGGTAGGACATCACATTCTTTTTCACTAAATGCCTCCACCAGGTCCCGGTATTCATTGGGGATGAGTGGTTCGCCTGGCGGCGGTGAGGCAGCCATGTGTGCTCGCTCATTGGGTGGCCTAAGGTGGCCTGCAACATCAGTTGAATCAGCGGGAGGTTTAGGCCCTATAGGTAGTCTCACAGTTCTCATTCCTTTCTTCCATCAGATAAATGGCTTCCATTTGTCCAACCAGGCTAGCCCTAGGATCACAGTCTCTGTCATTTGTGGAGCCACTAGGAAGCGAATAAACTCCCAGTGCGCACCTATTTCTAGGCGTAAGGGCTCCGTTACTTGTGTGACAAGAGTCCCTCCCATCAGGGAGCCATCGGCTTGCTCAAACCTCACAGGTTTGGAAAGCTGTTTTGCCCATATGCCCATTTTCATGGCAAACGGCAGACTAATAATGCAGCGGGTGCATCCAGAATCAATTAGCACGTTTAAGTCCATTTGTGCCCCAGACTTAGGGATTATAAGTTTGGCGGGCAGTGAAAAAGGCGGGACGTGTCGACTCACCATCAGGTCGTTCTCTCCTTCATCGTCGCTGTCAAAGGAGGGTAGAGCAGGGGCGGGTCCACCCGGAGTCCCGGCGTCCTCCTGTGTGGGGGGTGTAATCTGGGCAACAGGTTCTTGCGTGACCCGGTTGGATTTTTCTCTCGTTAGCCGCTGAGCAGGTTTCTTTCCCGTCACTGGTTCCGGTCTGCTCTGCAGTCGGGGGTAGGGGACTGGACAGGTTGCCGCTCGATGTCCCTCTTGTCCACACCGGAAACACTTGTTTGACAGGCCTTCAGGTGGTCTGGGTCTCTCAGCCATCGCAGTAGTTGGAGGTTTTCGTGGGGGTGATTGCTGTCCGGGTTGCTCTGGCTGCTGCTCGGATTCAGGTGGGGGAAGCTTCTTATAGCGGGCGAGCTGAACGTCTAGCTTCACTGCTGCCTGGTACCATTCTTGCAGCTGATCAGGTACTGCTCGATAGATGCAGGCCTGAGAGAGGTGATCGTCTAATCCCTCAATGAAGTGATGGATTAGGGATTGTTCAGGCCACCCCTCTATTCGACCTGCTATCTTGTGAAATTCCCGCACGTACTCCAGGGCAGGCCTGCCGGCTTGTTTTATTTTGTGGATCTGTTCTCTTGCTTTAAGACCAATAGATGGGTCCTCAAATCTTTCCCTCAGCCCTAGGAGGAAGAGGTGGGGATCCTCCAATTCGGGGGCTTGCTCATTATGTAATTTGTTCAGCCATTCGGATGCTTCTCCCTCTAGGCTGGATGCAATCACATCGACCATGGCCCCCAGGTCCGGGTAGAGATAGGCCCAGCAATTCAAATAACGCACTTGGTTGAGGGAAAAAACCAGCTTCTCTGGGTCCCCATCGAAGGTTGCTCTGAAAGGGGGTGCAATTATAGGCTGTTGGGGCCCCCACGGTGGCTGTTGCTGCTGGCCCCATCCTGGCTGCAGATTTATGCCCAGGGGTTGCACGTTCGGGGGCTGTGGCCAATCTCCTTGCTGTGGTCGGTCTCCCACCAGCTGCTGATCTCCTGGCTTCTTCACCACCCCAAGCTGTTGCAAGGCCTCTATTATTTGTGCCAAGCTCAGAAATCGCTGACCATCCATCTGCTGGGGAACCCAATCTACCCATTGTTGCAGATGCCTCAGACTGGATTTCCCTCTCTCTTCAGGGTTGTAGTCCCTGGCAGGGGAAGACAGGATCTGACAGGCTTTCTGATGTGCCATGGGAGGGGTATAGGCTCCTCTCTCCAGGAATTGATTTCTGCTTTTCACCTCTGGGTTTTGAAATCTTTCCAGCGACTCACCCAAAACTTTGTTATCTCTCCATTCTGCTTTTGAAGTCTTTGCTCCCAGCTGGGAGATCTGCCAGAGTTCTTTCTCCCCCGGCTGGCTGGCTGCCGCTCCACTCTCTGGGGAAGCTGCTGCTGCTGAGGTGCTGGCCTCAAGCCATCTTTCTCCTTCCATAATGAGATCTTCCCCGAATCTTTGTCATCTATCCCCTTTAGATTAGGAATAGTGACCGAGGTCCGGGACCTCTTAATTGGTTTAAAATATTTGTGGATCTTGGCATGATGTCATGTGTCTGACTAATGAAACACTTCAAAGAACTTTCAGGCATGGTTTAACCTAAAAAAGCCTTTATTAGTGTAGAGGCGTGTCAGCACGGCATGATGGATGCCAAGATCTGAATTTCTCTTCCCTTTGCACATAACATTCCAGGCATTTCCCCTCCCCTATTTTGGGGGTCATGATTCACATCTTCCAATTAACCTGGAGGGCAAAGATTCACTTCCGTTCCTTTTCCCGGGCTTTCCTTACTAATCTCCTCCCTTTCTCTGTCATCTGAATTAACTCTAAAAATACCAGACAGTTCTGCATATTTTGTCAAAGCAAGAATATTCACTATTAGCAGCGTTGACACATTGTTAATTATAAAAGCATTTTACAAACGTATTACTTATTACATTTTTGTATTGTACTACTGCAATTCTGTTTTGAGCTGCTTGGAGTCATAGTGATTCAAGTGGCATAACAATCTTCGTAAATAAATATTTAGAATTTGTGGTTGAAAAATGATTTCACAATATTCCAGTATGAAAATATTTGATGTACTATATAATAGTTTGATATCTAAAAATATAAATGTTTCATTTGTATGCTAAATTTTGCAGAATCGAAAGAATGATGAAGCTTCTTATGAAAAAATGCTTAAACTGAGGCGGGATCTGAGTCATGCGGTAACAATTCTAGAGATGATAAAGAGAAGGGAAAAGAGCAAGAGGGAGTTACTGCATTTAACATTGGAAATTATGGAAAAAAGGTAAAACAGTTGGTTTTAACAGTTTGGTTTTAAATTATGATTGCTATTAAATAATTGGCACATAGATAATATTTTATAAAATTGTAATATATTTTTATTTGCTTCACATTTGTAACATAGTTGTGCTTGTGAGTGAATATGTAGGCATGGGGATAAAAATGGTGTTTTAGATTATCAAACAAATGTCTTCTTGGTTATCGTTGGCAAATCTTCCTATTTTGGAGAAAAGGATGATTAGGGGTAGACATGTCCTGATAGCACTTAGACTTATATCCCGCTTCACAGCGCTTTACAGCCCTCTCTAAGTGGTTTACAGAGTCAGCATATTGCCCCCAATAATCTGGGTCCTCATTTTACCGACCTTGGAAGGATGGAAGGCTGAGTCAACCTTGAGCTGGTGAGAATCGGACTGCCAAACTGCTGGCAGCCGGGAGTCAGCAGAAGCAGCCTGCAGTACTGTACTCTAACCACTGCAACACATTCAGTCCTGTTGCCTCCAAATAGGACTGGAAACATTCTTCTCTAAGACCCTGAGAAGCAGTGGCAATTGGACCACACAGTATTAAGGTAGCAGATAGATTAATGTGGTTTAGTATAAGTCAGTGTCACATGAAGATGTCTTTTGCAATTTTGAAACCAAGGCAACTTTAGGCATCTATCTGGAGTTATATAAATTGAAAGGTGTATATTAATTTGCAGGGGTCAATTGTTTTTCATTGTAAAGGGAGAATATTGGTTGATTGGAATGTATTAAAATATCTTTAAAAATAAATTAAGTCTGTATTAGAAAAAGATGCTGAGAGGGATTCAATTTACTATTTTAGAAATCCATGTTAATACTTAGTAATGACCAAAGTAGAGTAAGTCTGCTTTGCTTGAAATAATATCATTAAAGATCCATTATACTTTTGGAGTTGAAAATACTGACTGAAAATCTATGTTATTCTCACTGTTATCTGAGGTTTATAAAACATTTAGCACTCTAAACACCTTTGTTATTTCAAGCTCAGAATGCTTCTGTGAAGTCTGAACAGCCCTTTTTGGAGCTGATTTTTTTTCCAAGCTGAAAAGAGATATGTTGATCTCGGAACATTTCAAATTTGAAACATTTTGCATACTTATTGCAATTATCCTTTCAGAATGTATATTCTAAGTATTTCTGTAATGGTATTTTTTCTTCTTGAGTAACACTTTTATGTAACACTCAGTTCTAGATCAGTAGTTCTCAGTGTGGGCAATTTCCAGGCGCATCACCTTGAACTGCCAGGGTTGTCAACAATGTCCATGCTGGATAAGAATTGTCAAAAGTAAAGTCCATGTATTTGGAAGTTGCCCAAGTAGGGAAATGCTGATGTAGATTCACAATGTAATAAAGATACAGATATTAAGTATATAAACTAACATTTAAAAGTTCTGATAAATTCAAACTTTTTCTTCATTTTCCAGAGATAATTTGGGTGATTATAATGGAGAGATCATGTCTGAAGTAATGGTACATCGACAGCCCATGAAGCCTACCTATGCTATTCCTGTTATTTCTATTCCTAATAGCACTCAGTTTAAACACCCAGAATGTATGGAATTGAAGGAATTTAAAATAAACAAGGTGACTAAATCTATCATTGTGCATATTACTTACTTGAAAAAAATGCTCCTTTATAATTTTATGCTATAAATGTGCTTAAACTATGTGAATTGTTCTTAATTTCATTTCAAAAGATTTCAAGATAACTGGTATCTAGGTTGATACTCTTATTTATTATCTGTGGTAAGTAATTTTGATAGTCTATTAGGTTAAAGCTTCCTATGAACTAAACCTGTTTGATCTTGAAAATCTAAGCAAAGTCAGACCTTGTCAGTATTTGAATGGGAGACCACCAGGAAATCTCAGGGCTGTGGTCTCAATTGTGAAGTTGGAAAAAAATACAGAAGAAAATTCTTACTAGAAATGTTCATGTAGTCACCAAGATTTGCAGTCAACCTGAAAGAGCCTTTACCTGATTCTCTATTAGGGAAGGAGAAATCACAATGGTACATTTAAAAAAAAAGTTTCTAAAACTTCAGTCTTCTAATGCAGGCATGTCAAACTCGCGACGTCACGTGATGTCACGCGACGTATCGGAGCTTTTTCACCATTGCCGGCAATGGGGTGGGCGCGGCTCCGGTATGATGAAACCAGCCCGCGGGCCGGCAGTTTGACACCCCTGTTCTAATGTGTCAAGGTTCCGATAGACAAGACCAAACAAATCAGAACTCTGAGGCTTGAGATTTCCTCAAAGAACATGTTTATTGGTTACATAGTATTGACACAGTCAAAAGTGAAACCAAGTCTGAAATTCCCTACGTTCCCCAATAGAACAGTTTGGCTGGCTTTCTAACCAAATACTCACGCCCTCCATCTAACAGACAGAAATGACCTTGGTTCCCACGGGACAGTAAAATGTTTAGACTAGTAGAAATCCTCCGCAACCCCTCCCATTCTTGTGGCAACATAGAACGAGCAAAATGGCTGTAGCCAGGTTTGTTGTAGAGTTGACATAATGGATATGATTTACTCAGATAAAACCATTAATGCATTTTCTCTTCATGCAGCAAGAGAAAGCTGATGCTATACGACCAAAGAGAAAATATGAGAAGAAGCCCAAAATTGTATCATCGGCTGCTATTGCTATTCAGCAGTCAATTCCTTCTGCACTGCCAATCTTTAATGTTAAAGATATGAATCAGTACGACTTTCCCAGCTCTGATGAAGAACCTCTTTCTCACGTATGACGTCTACAGTTTTTTGGTTCAGAGGGAGGAAAGATACTTACGTCTTTATACTTAACTACTGCTTTCTTTTTGAAGGTCTTGTCTGGCTCTTCTGAAGTTGAGGAAGAAAATGATCCTGATGGGCCATTTGCTTTCCATAGGAAAGCAGGCTGTCAGTATTATGCTGTAAGTCTTGAGTTTCTACAGTACTGTATTGTAACACTTATTAAAATCATGTTTTAATCCTTTTCAAATATTTCTTTTCAAAGCCTCATTTAGAACAAACTGGTGACTGGCCATGGAATAGTCCTAAAGGGGGAACATTAGGAGATGAGCATTACAGATACTGCTTAACCACCCTTACTGTGCCACAAAGGTGCATTTGGTTTTCACGTAGACGGGTTGGACGTGGTGGAAGGTAGGCTTATTTATCATAAAACTCACTACACTAATATCATATTGAAAAGTATGAACATGATGTAGAAAAACAATTGAAATGTAGTTGTTAAATATGTTTGCTGTTATTTAAATTAGTACATAAATTTTAATTAGCCATCTGTATTCTTAAATCTATATCTTCGACTTTATTATGATCTCCCTTCTGTTACAGAAACACACAGCCTTATTGTGACTTTTCCCCTTCTCTTTTCCCCCTTGAATCCATTTAAAATCCATGATTTAGAGCAGACATGTCAAACGTGCGACGTCACGTGACGTCGTACAATGTATCAGAACTTTTTCCCCATTGCCGGCAATGGGGTGAGCGTGGTTTCCTCATGATGTGTCCGGTAGGCCGGCAGTTTGACACCCCTGATTTAGAGGCTTGCACTAATCATGTTTCATATGTCATTGCACACTGTAACTTTTCTGAAAATAAAGATCCTGAAAACCTGTAACATGTTACCAGACCTCTATCGTGCCTACTTGAACTATCAGTTTGGCAATCTGTTTGTGGGACAGGTGTGGTATTTCATCTTTCTTGAGAGTAGGTGCCTCCTGGTACCACTGTGATTCTGTGCATTTTCTGCTTAAAGGTGTAGGTGCTTTGAGGTTCTTCTGAGATAATCTCTGTATGCAAATAACCAGAAGACTATAGGTAGATCTCAAAGCAGCTTGATTTCTCATCAAATGATTTGCATGGGTATAAGTTTTTTTAATAGGTTGCATTAAAATCCATGTCAGATTACATGAGCATATTGTTCTACAAGGATTTCCGTGGCATCAAAAATAGTGATTAAGCATATCTTGTCTGGATTCTTTTGTTGAGAGTGAGGTATAATATATTGCTTCAGCATGTAATAAATATTTTTTTAAAAAATTATCTAGCTAATCTGGACCCTTCAGCACTGTTTTACCTTATAAAAATGAGGTATAAAGGTGTTTTACATTGCTATTACTACAGATGCACATCACCTTGGAAAGAAGTAGTATATACTGTATGTTTTAGTATTAGCATAGTGTTGTTCACATTCTACAATAAAAACTCTTTGACAAGTCTCCATAATCTACTTTCCTGTCATATTCAAAATTGCCTCAAATTAGAGGCTTGTAAGAAGAATACACCATCCTTTGTGTCTAGTGATGTACTTTCTGAAGTATTTTTAAGTATGTATTTGTACTTTTTAAAAACTGGGGTTGTTTTCTAGATAAAGAGGAATGAGGGCTCTTTTTATCTTAATTCCAATTGGATTTTGCAGCATCTTTGTTAATAGTGACGTCTATCCAGACTGTTCTTTGTTTTGCTTCTCTCT